AGACCAGCGCGAGGACGGCCTCGGCGAGAACGGTGTCGAGATCGCCCCGCCGCTGGTGCCTGGCGGCGAGGCGCTCGCGATGCTCGATGTAGACGGCACGGTGGCTTCCACGACCTGCAGCCAGCGCGTCGAAGGGCGCGCGCTGCGTTCTCTGGCCGCGCAGACCTCGGTCTACATGTCCCCCAATTACAGCCTGGAGACAGCGTCATTCGGGACGGCGCCCAGCTTCTCAACTTGACCGCGCCCTTACGCCGCCGGATCTCGCCTTCCATCGAAATCGATGACCCATCGCAGTCGCGCATGCGGAAAGACGGACGGCTTGCGCAGCTGGCGGTCCGGCTGGCGCGCGGGAGGGGACTGTTGGACTCATCGTTGTCGTCGGCCCCCCCCTCGCCATCGTCGCCCCCGTCGCCCACGCCACCGCCGCCGGGTCGACCGCGAAAGCGTCCAGGAAGCGGATCAGGGTGTGGCGGCCGCTGGTGATGAGCGGCCGGCGCGAAGGCCATTCAGACTGCATGCTGCATGCGCGCCGCAGCTCCATCAACATGGCGTCGCGCTGCGGTGACGCGCCCTCGCCTGGTTTGGAGGCCTGCCTTTGGCTTGGGTGCGTGGCGTGGTCGTTCGGCCGTCTGCCGCTGCTCAAATACGGAGGGCGGAGGTGGATCGAGCCGCTGAAATCGGCATGTCGTAGCGCCGGGCCTGGCACCCGCGGGCGTTGTTGCCACCAGTCGCACCAGGGGCCATGGCTAGAAGGACTGGCGCTGGGCTTGCCGGTGAAATCGTTGCCTGCCCACGCGCGACCGCCTCCTGGACGCTGGATGCGATGGACTTTTGCTCTTGCATTCCTGCTAAAGCACCTTAGGTCCTGGTGGTCTTGCAGAGCCTTGACGGTCTCGCTGTGCTCGCTGTCGCGTCGACAGACCTGCTGGGCGATGCCGTCGCGCCAGGCTTGCGCCTTGTCGCGCACGGCGGTGGCACGGGCACCGGCTCTCGAAACCTCGACTGCATGTGTCACTTTGGCGTCCACCTCAGCGGCGCGGCCAGACTGGACGCGCAGCTTCGCACTGTGCTGCTCCGTGCTCGCGACCTTGAGCTCCTGCTTGCGAGGCTGAAGCCGAGTGGAGTTCAGAACCGCCTGCGCGGACGACTCAAGGCGAGCAGCCTCAGCAGCGAGCTGCTAGTGGCGGTGAGCAGCGGCGGCGTTGGCCTCGGCGATCGTCGCGGCCGCCTGCACCACGACCTGCTGGACCTTTGCCTCCCTGACGTCTTGGGACGCGCAGGCATCCAGGTGGAATGTGGCGACGTACAGCTGCTGCTCTCGGGCCTGCGCCTGAAGGCGGCCGGTTCGGAGTCGAGCGCGATGCGGAGGCGAGCGCGGTCCCCGTGCTGCATGTGCCGCTCAACGGCGCGGGGTTCACGTGCGCCCTGCCTCAGGCGATCTCGGCAAACTCGTTCGACCTGCTTTGCCGCCTCGTCGAGCAGGCACCGCATCACGACCTGCTCGGCCGAAATGTTGGTGAGGGCCTGCTCCGAGAGCGCAGCGGTGCGCTCAAGCGAAGCAAACTCCCGTTCCTTCGCCTCGAACTCGCCCACACGCTCCGCCTTCTGGGCCGCGAGCTGTTTAGCACCAGCGGTTTCAACACGGCTGCTGTCCATGATGCGCGGCAAATCATGGGAAAAATCGAACGAGCCGCCGCAATCATCCCGCCGCCCTCCTCCTCCGGCCTCCAGCAGCCCGGCTTCCAGGTGCAACGAGCTGGAGCACATCTGGGACAGGAGCGGCGACATGATCCGCCTCGGCACGAAGGCTGCGTGGCGAGACCGCGGGGCGTCGAGATGGCCCAGGGCGCGGCGGCGGTGTGCCAGCCTGCGCTGCTGTGAAGATGTCCGACAGCACAAGGCCGAGGTACGAATTGTGCACCAGTCCCACTAAGAGCTCGCCATGGTAAGAGCACTTCGTCTGATAAGCTCTGGCTAACAATTTCGTCTACGCACTGGTTATCGATGACTTCGAATAGGATCACAACTCTGGTAGTCCAACACCCTCTGAAAGGCGCTCAAATTGACAGAATAATACAGCTGCACGGATCGGTAGAGCGCGCTGTAACCCGGGGGTGGGTGGGAGGTAGAGCCAGCGTTTCGAAAGTTCAGAAGGGAGTCGATTGATATAGACAAGCGCGTAATGAGCTGGCGTCGCCGCTGAGACTCACTACGCGCCCTGCCTGTCCGCGACCATCTTCAAGCGCGATGCCGGAACTTGAGCCAAAGGTTCACCGTCACGGCTGAAGTTGGCCTGTAGCTGCTATCCCACTGAGTGGGATTGCAGACATGGAATACAAAATGCAGAGACACCCAACCCTGGAGTCGGCGTTGCCGCTGAGCCTCCAGGGATCTTGAGGCACATGGCGATGCAACCTATCGTGTCTTGGGATCACCCGTTGGAAAATATAAACTATTTAGCGCCGCATGTGAATGGACAAATCCGGCGGCCAGGACTTGTAGGTCTGGCGGCGGGGACTTGCTCAAAATGGTTCGGGATTCTGGCGACCAGGACTTGAATCAAAGTGTCCAAGTGTCCGGCGGGGCCTGCGAACACGTGCACATGTTCGACTCCGGCCGAATCCAGGGCACACGCCCTCAACCCCAAATAGTGCTTGCATAAACAGTTCAGGGTCCCACACAGACCTGACACTTACAATAATTAAGCCTACTTTGCACATGAACGTTTAAATGTGTGGCACTGGCGGATAGCCTGGGGAGAACTTATAAGAACGGATGTGGCTATTCCCAAAACAGCTCCAAGACGGCCCAAGTGAGCCCCAAGACGGCCCAAGACACCCCCAAGGCAGCCTTTGGAGGCCCCAAGAGGCCAAAAAGACTGCCCAACTAGCGAACGAAAACGGCTCAAGACGCCCTAACAGACCCCCAAGAAGCCTCCAAGCAGCCCCAAGAATTCCCAAAGAGGCCCCGAAAGGTCTCCAAAAGGCACCCAGGAGTGCCTAAAATCACATACTCTACACATTACGGACGTGCACCACGCAAAGCGAAAGGAATCTATGTTTGGAAGGCTGAGCGGCAGCGTTTCCCGCGAAGGCCCTAACGAAAAATACCCTGTGCGTCCAATGATACATGAAATTACGTTGCACAGTATATTGTATTGCATTAAACTATCATTTTGTACCCCCACTAGCCCCCCCACTACAGCCACGCCACATCCAAGGGCCAAAGGTGGTGGACCCCGTCTCGAACTCAAGGGCGTACAATTCATAAAGAAATGAGTGATTCTGGCTTCTTGGGCTTCATGAAAATCGAAGACGGCCTCGAGACCGCTCTGTAGGTGAAATATTGCCCAAGATGGCTCCAACACGACATCATATGGCCCCAGCACATCAAACAAGGCCTCTAAGACTACCCAAATGGCTCCGAAGAGTCTTGTTTTATCGCTTCGCTCACTCCGCCGGCCCATTTCGCATCTCTGTGGCTGCGTGGTGGTGTGCTCGTGTCCAGGGGGGAACCGTAATTAGGGCAGGCTGGACGGTCCTCAAGGAGATCTTTGGAGATGTGGCTCGCACCCTGTCGAAGAGAGCCGATAGACTGCCCCTGAACGCGCCAAGATGGCTCAAGATAGCTCCAGCAGAGTTCTGAGACGTACATGGGTTGTGGGTCAAAGTCATCATGGATGCTTCTTGAGGTCTTTTCGAAGAGAGCCTCTGGGGAGCAGTTTGGGGCTTCCTGGAGGCCTCTTGGGAGTCTTGGGGGCCTCTTTCGGGGCCTCTCGGGGGCCTCTTGCGAATTCTTGAGGGGGCCTCTGTGGGCTTCCTGGGCGCCTTTTGGGGCCGAGAGCTCGAAATGTCCGTTCGGGTCCCCGTCTTGGCCCGCTCTTGGAGCTGTCTTGGGAGCCTCTTCGGCCGTCTTGGAGGCCTCTGGGGCTGTCTTGGGGCCCTCTGTGGCCGTTTTGGACGCTCTTGGAGGCCTCTTGGGCCGTATTGGGGCGATCCTGGAAGCCTCTTGGGCCGTCTTGGAGCGCCGGTAAGCTGAAAAGGCGAGAACGCCAAAAAACTTCAAAACCTATAGGACAAACACTAATTTCTGTATCTGTGGGCCCTCTTGGGAGGTCTCGTGGGTGCCTCTTGGGGCGTTTTGAAGGCGCTTTGGGCAATCTGGAGCCCATCTGTTCCGTCTTGGATCGCTCTTGGACCGTCTCGGACCATGTTGAACTCTCTTGGAGGCCACTTGAAGCGCTCCTGGAACGCTCTTGGGAACCTGCTGGAACCTGGCCAGGACCTGGCCGGGAATTTGCTGGGACCTTGCCGCGGTACTATTCGTCCGGGGACCCCCAGGGGCGGCCCCGCGCGCGCGAACTAGAAATACTGTTAACCAGTTACCGGAGATCTGAGCACGTCCTTGGCGGCGAAGTTGTAAAACATTGTTTTGCGGTGCTCGACTCCTCGGGCATCAGACACCCCAAGACCTTCCCAAAGGCCTCCAAGATAGCCCCAACGAAGGTCCGAGAAGCCCCTAAGATCTAGGACGGCCCAAAGGTGGCCCAGGAGGCCCCACAGACAGCCTCAAGATAGCCCAAGTGGGCCCCAAGGTGGACCAAGAAAACTCCAAGACTGCTCGTGGAGGTCCCGAGAAGGCACCACAACGGCCCAGAGAGACGGCCCAAACAGCGCACGAAGACGGCCCAAGACGCCCCAAAGACGCCCCCAAGACGCCCCAACAGGCTCCGAAGGATCCCTCAAGCAGCCCCAAGATGTTCCCGGAAGAGCTCCAAAATATCCCCCGAGAGCCCAAACGCACATACTCGACATTCCAGACGTACAGCCCGCAAGGCAAAAGGAATCCACGGACCCGGGGGAAGCATCCCCCCGACAAAAAAGCATGAAGCCAACGTCGCCAAATTTGGCGACGGATCGCGCCGATCCTGAATGGAAACGGGATCCGTCGCCGATCCGGGCGCACTGATCCAGATCTTCACTTCCTCGGGAGGAGCGGCCTTTCCTCGCGGCGCGCGGGCTCGACATCGGCCGCTCCGTTTCCGCGCGCGGGCGGTCGGCCTCTCGCGCAGCCTCTCACAAATTGACGCTGCTTAACGGGGGAGCGATCAACGGACGGGCTACGAAGCATGTACCTTCGTGCCCCTTTTGGGCCCCAGGGGGCCCACTCAGGGCCCCGGAGGTGAACCAAAAAGGCACATGTCCTCCCCCCCCCCACACTGATCGCGCATCGCCCCCCCAATACGCAACGACGCCCGACCCCGGAGTGATAATATGGCAACCGGACGCAGCGGCGGGCTGGGCTGTACACAAGCGGAAGCCCCGCGAGCCGGGACGGGCGGCCGGAGACGGAGCCCTCCGCCCCACCCACCCCTCCAGAAAAAGACACATCTGCACAACTATACACTGTCGCCGGCCTTCGTTTGGACGCGGTCAGCCTCCGCTGGCCTGCATTTGAACGCGGTAGATCATGCACGCAGGACATCGGAGGGCGTGCGTGTGCGTGTGTCTCTGCTCGCTCACACCAAGACGGTCGAAGGCGAAATGATATGCTTCGACATCGTGAAACGTGCAGAGGTCCGCGCGGATGTCTTGGATCGGCGCTGGGACCCCCCCGGCGGCGCCTCCTGTGCTGCCCCTGGCGCATGGGGGTCCAGCGCCGATACCAGCAATCCGCGCGGACGTCCGAAAGACAATGGTCATGCAACGTTTGTCTTCCCTCCGACGCTCGTCTTCATCGACCTCCCCTTCTAGCCGAGAGAGGGAGAGAGACCCAGACATCCAACGATGTGATTGTTCGAATGCGCGGCCCCCAAGGCCCCGATCCCTTCCCCAGGGATAGCCAGCGTCCCAGACCAACTTGCCTGCATGGCCCCGGGGCCCGACAACGGCCCCCCAGGGCCGACATCGAGGAGAACCGCCCCGATGGCAAGAAGTGAACACACCGCTGGAGGCCTGAGGATGAATCCGTCGCCGCTGCCCGCTCCACCGGCGGCCCGCGGTCACCTCGTGAGGGCTGGCGGCACCATGAGCGGCGGGGGCACGCCTGCCCAGAGGTGGAAAAGTGGCAACGCGCACGCGCGGCGATGATTTTCGCTAGCTCGGGCAGCACACTGGGTCGCGCTGCTCCGTCCCCTTGTTCCCTTACTGGGCTCGAGCCTCACGCTGATGGTATGACTGCATGTGCTCATCAGGCACTGGTGCCGAAGCAGGCACAGTCGAAGCATGAGCATAAGAGCGTCCATCAAGAACACGAACCCCTTCGCTGAGAGCCTAGGGCTTCATGAAGACTACGCCACATGAAGGCTATTCCAAAGAGGAGAGCCCCAGCACGAAAAAATCAGGGTACCCCTCCAAAGCTAGGCTTGTTCGCAACCCTCGCTCCATCCACGGGGGGAGATCGGGCAAGCAGGCCCGCATCCGCAACGAAAACCACGTTCGCGCGTACTCCCCGAGCTTCGACCGAGCCTCCGCTGCGGCGCTCGCGGCCAACCCCCCCGCGGGTGCCCAGGATGGCGCCGCGGGCCGACACGCGCTCGGCGCGGCACGGTCCAGAGGCGGGCCAGCAGAGACGACGGCGGCCTTCCCTGGCGGTTTTCGTCCTCTCTGGGGCCTCGTGGAGGCTGCTCCTCGCCACGGCCGGTTCCGCCGCGAAGCACCGGGCCAAGACGGACCCCGAGGTGGACCGTATAACTCCCCTGGCCCCTGCTGGGGAGGGCCAGTCAGGACCTTTCCCGTCGTCGCTGGGGCCTGCTGGAACCTTCTCGTCGCCACGGCGGGTTCAGCCTCGAAGCGCCGGGCCGGGATGAACCCCGAGAGGGGCCAGGGGGGCCAATTTTGAGCGCCACGCGCCAGTCTCACCAAAGTTCTGATGCCAGGAAATTAGAAGTGGTGCAATCTTGAAGGTGCAGCACTACGTTGTGCAACATATGTGTTGCAGTCAACGTGGTACAATCTATGTGGTGCAAGTCACCCTGCAGAACTTGAAGTTGTTAATTCCACTGCTCGCGCAAGCATCCCACACACCCACCCCCAACTTGGTTTGCAAACCCATGCGACGGCGATTGCGATCAATGCTTGGCGTTAGCTGGTGCACTGCGGCCGCGCTAGCCCGCGCATGCTTTGGTAGTCCCCAAACGTGGTGGTGACAACACCTGGCGGTGAGTCTCAGGCGATTTGGTGTCACCACCCGGTTTGGGGACTCGTGCGGTTTTCCGAGGATGTCCCGGACACTGGTGGGTCCAGGAGTCACAAAACCCGGTGGTGACCCCGCGTCCCCAAACCCAGCGGTGACCTTTTTGGGGATTCCAGGTCGCCACCTGGTGTCTCACCACCCGGTTTGGGAGTTCCCAAATGCTCGCGCGGGCAGCGACCAGCTAGTTCGGCGCGGCCGGGGCGGTCGCGGTGGCGCTGACCGCTGGGCACTTCCAGCGGGGACATCAGTGCGAGTCGGTGACGTGGGCGGGCGCGGCATCATGGCGACGCCTCCACGGGTAGACACGACGATGAGAGTAGCGATGATGGTGACGATGGTGGCGATGACGACGGCACGGCCAATTCTGGCGCCGATGTTGATCACGCCAACCGATAACAATGACGATGTCTTCGCGCCGGCGATGAAAGTGTTCGAAGAAAGTCGACATGCACGCGCGCTCGACGCGCGCGATTGGCCCGCGTGGTATGATTTGTCACGGACCGTGCCCCCCCAGTACGCGCGCAAGGGCGTTCGGATGAGTTCGACATGCGGCGCGAAGGGCACGCTTGGCAAAATATGATGGCAATGTTGAGAAACCGATGGTTGTCTTAAGAATTCGCCAGACCGCGCGCTCAGGCCCTTTTTCAAACCCTTAGGCGCAACTTTTGTTTACATGTGTACGGAACACTCGTTTTTGAACTCCGTACGGAACCTAAGGTGTTTGAAGGATTTTGGCATTCGCGCGACGACACGCGCGTGTACACTTCGTCCCATGTGTTGCAAGGGATTCTCGCGATAGCACGCGCGCAAGGGCGTTCTGAAGATTTCGACATGCGCGCGCGAGAGGCCCGTGTCGTAGCATGTCATGAACATATATTGAAACACTAGAGTTGTCTTTAAGAATTCGCCAGAGCGCGCATGCCCTTGTTCTAAAAAACCTTGTTGCCAAACCATGTGTTCAAATCTGTTTTTGCAAGGCTCGATTTTGAAATCTTTACGAGCTCTACAGTTTTTGAAAGACTTCGGCATGCGCGCGCGACGACGCGCGCGTGTGCACTTCGTCAAATTTAGTGCAACGGAGTCTTGAGCGCGCATAGTAGGGGGGGAACTCCGGCCTGGCTGGGATGGTACGAGTTCAAACATTAGGATGGACGATGGGGCAGAATCATATGTACACTGCATATCCCCAGGGGGTACCTGGAAGTGCGGCCTCGGGAGGGTGGTGGACCCTAAGCCTTTATAACATAGAAGAATATATGTGGTGCGTAGCTTACGTGGAAAATTGACCTGGTGCAATCTAGCTGATGCAATCTATGCTTTCTCATGGTGCGGCCGTCTACCCTACGACAGTCACCCCTGAAATGTCGCATCGCATGCGCGTTTATGGGATAAGAGTCCGACAACGGAAAGGCCTTAAACGTAAATTTAATGTTTGTTCGCTGGCAGGGCTCGCCTGAGGTTATAGTGGGCAACAACAAGGTTGTTACCCAATATACATTATATTGCTGTTTAAAGCAGCAACAGTGAACGACAACAACGACATCAACAACAGCAACAACAAACAACAACAGCATCAATCATTTCAATAATATTCGCTCTCATCTGCTCGCGTGCGATTCAACACGTATATCCCAAACCCTCGATCTCCGCCCTGCTCGTCTTCGATCGTACCCCAAATGGGGGCATACTTTCCTTGCCCACCACGTGTTGGTGGCGCAGCCGCTAAAACAGGGGAAGGAAGGGAGGGTGCAAAAGACAAGAGAGGGAGAGAGGGACAGATTGACCACGAGAGAGACTTGCAGGAAGGGGGTTCGGAGCAGGAATGCGAGCGGCAGAACGAGACGGGCGGGCCGGGCGGGCGGACCAAGACGGCAAGGTCGAGCGAGCAGGTCGCTGAAGCGTCAACCCAACAGCGATAGCGCGATTCCTCACTCAATCGTGAAGAAATGCAAGACGAGAGCGTAACTCCTGAAAGTTGGGGGCACGGCGCCGCAATACATTGCGAAGAGATACCGCGCGAGAGCGCGATTCCTTCATGAATTATGAGGATGTCCTGCGCAAGAGCGCGACTTTGAAATACATCGCGGGGAAGTACTAGGCGGAAGAAACTATTGTTGTGAACCGAGGGCCACAGACACAATCTGAGGACCAAGACTGTGCCTTTGAAAAACAGGGTGCGGGCCCCAGGACGGGCCCATGAATTGAAAAACACACGGTGCACCGGAGGGGGAGGATCAACAAGGAATGAGAGTTCTACAGCAACATCAAAAACCCAACGACGACGACGACGACACCACCAACAACAACAGCAACAACAACAACAACAACAAACATACCAGAAACATATTGTTTCAATGGGTCAGCCAGCACTGTAGTCAACAAGCCCAGGCGGGGCAAACACACTCGGCGAAGACACCAGAAATTAACGAAACAGAAACACGAAAAACAGGAACAACTGAAACGAACATGACGGCAATACCAACATCACAGCCTGCATGAAGAGCCACGGCAGCAACAACATCAACGCAACAACCTGGATACCAAAACCATCATGCGTCACACATCGCAACCATGCTTGGTTAATACATTTGTGTCGTGTTGTGGTATGATCACAATGTGAGCAAGTCCGATGACGCGCACAAGCAACAACGGCACCAGGGCAGATAACACCACCAACAACACACTACACTAGTGAAAACGACACCATGAACGAAACTACAACAACGGCGAGGATGAAAGCAGCAATAAGAACAACAACAACAACAACAACCAAAACAACAACAACAATCATTTTAAGACTCTTCGCCCTTATCTGCTCGAGTGTCCAATAACGAGTAGTTCCCAAACCCTCGATACCCGCCCTCTTCGTCTTCGATCGAACCCCTTTTGGGAGGTATACCTTTCTTCCCTGCAGGCCGGGCCCCGGCAAGCGGCGGGGCGGCCGCGGACCGTCGACCCGGCCCCAAGAGGGACGGATAGGGGACCGACCACGACGTCGACGACGACGACGGCGTCGACGACGACGACGGCGACGACGACGACGACGACGACGGCGACGAGCGAAAGCGAGAGCGAGAGAGAACGACAGCAGGGCCACAAGGACACGAAGTAGGCCACGAAGAGCGACAGCGGGGACACGAAGGGAATGCGTATGGGGCCACGAAGAGCGCGAACGAGCGTGGGCCACGAAGGGCAGATAATGCGGGGCCACAGAAGGCAACGACGGGGCCACTGAGGGTAGCAACTGGGCCACGTAGGACAGTGAGGGGGCCACAAACAGCGACAGCGGGGCCGCGAAGGGCATGCACATGGGGCTACAACGGACGCGAACGAGCGGGGGCAACGAAGGGCATACGTATACTGGGCCGCGGAAGGCAAGGACGGGGCCACTGAGGGCAGCAACGGGGCCACGAAGGGCTGCAACGGGGCCACGAAGGGCGACAGCGGGGCCACGAAAGGTCTGCATATGGGGCCACAACGAGCGCGAACGAGCAGGGGCCACGAAGGGCATGCATATATGGGGCCACGAAGGGCAGCGAGGGGGCCACGAAGGGCTGCAACGGGGCCACGAAACAAAGCGAGGGGGCCACGAAGGGCTGCAACGGGGCCACGAAGGGCAGCGAGGAGGCCACGAGGGGCTGCAACGGGACCACGAAGGGCAGCGAGGGGGGCACGAAGGGCTGCAACGGGGCCACGAAACAAAGCGAGGGGGCCACGAAGGGCTGCAACGGGGCCACGAAGGGCAGCGAGATTCCGATTCCCAGGTAATCTGTGAGGGAGTCCTAAGCGTGAGCGCGACTCCTGGGTGCCTGGGTGTCGGGAGCGCGGCGCTTGAGTGAATTGCAGGACAT